GAGAAAATATTTGCAAATGAAGCAACTGACAAAAGATTAATCTCCAAAATATACAAGCAGCTCATGCAGCTCAATATCAAAAAAAACAACCCAATCCAAAAATGGGCAGAAGACCTAAATAGATATATTTGTTCAAAGAAGATAAAGATTTCCAGCAAACACATGAAAGGATGCTCAACATGACTAATCATTAGAGAAATGCAAATCAAAACTACAGTGAGGTATCACCTCATACCAGTCAGAATGGCCATCATCAAAAAATCTACAAACAATAAATGCTGGAGAGGGTGTGGAGAAAAGGGAACCCTCTTGCACTGTTGGTGGGAATGTAAATTGATATAGCCACTATGGAGAACAGTATGGTGGTTCCTTAAAAAACTAAAAATAGAACTACCATACGATCCAGCAATCTTACTACTGGGAATATACCTGGAGAAAAGCACAGTTCAACAAGAGTCATGTACCACAGTGTTCATTGCAGCACTATTTACAATAATCAGGTGATGGAAGCAACCTAAGTGTCCTTCGACAGATGAATGGATAAAGAAGATGTGACACATATATACAATGGACTATTAGCCATAAAAAAGAAATGAAATTGAGTTATTTGTAGTGAGGTGTATGGACCTAGACTCTTTCACACAGAGTGAAGAAAGTCAGAAAGAGAAAAACAAATACCATATGCTAACAGATGCACATGGAATCTACAAAAAAAAAAAAAAACAAGTGGTTCTGAAGAACCTAGGGACAAGAGAGGAATAAAGATGCAGACGTAGAGAATGGACTTGGGGACATGGGGCGGGGGAAGGGTAAGCTGGGACGAAGTGAGAGAGGGGCATGGACATATATACACTACCAAATGTAAAATAGCTAGTGGGAAGCAGTCGCATAACACAGCTGGGTGCATTGTGACCACCCAGAGGGGTGGGATAGGGAGATTGGGAGGGAGACACAAGAGGGATGGTGTATGGGGATATATGTATACGTATAGCCGATTCACTTTGTTATATAGCAGAAACTAATACACCATTGCAAAGCAATTATACTCCAATAAAGATGTTAAAAAAAATTAAAAATAAAACAGTGATGAGAATTCATGGCACCTTAGGTTTGATGAAATTCAAAAGTTTTCTGCTTTGTGGCCTGCCTAAGAGGAGAGTGGACTTGAAACAATTGTTTATGGTATGCTGGAAGTTGGAAGACATGCTGAAGATGTAAGATCATGCTCATATAGAATAAAGAACATTCTGAAAATTGTATGTTTCAAGTTATCTTTGAAAAGCATTTAAATTAAGAGACTGAAAATCAATTGATTGATTACTTAAAAGCCAAAAAAGACCTAAGGTACTGGGTAGTAATCGGTGTGGTTTTATGAAGACCCAATTCTATCAATTCAACTTGATTTCTCTTTTTGAAAAAGTGTGTGCTTTTTTAGACAAATAATAGGCCTAAGGGAAATAAATCAAAAGCAGAACATTTCTTTCAATTTTACATGACATTATTAATGACAAAGTAGGAGGATGGGTGTGGATCAAGCATCTGAGTGAATGTTGTTCCAAAGGTATAGATTGAGCAGTCAGTAGCCTCTAAAGTATTTATTGTATTTGACTTGTCCATCTACTCAACTTATTGACCTCTCTTTTAATTCCATTTTCTGGCACCTCATAAGTTCAGAAGAGAAATCCAAATGACCTTGGCAAAGTTGATACATGTTTTGATTAAACATGGATATAGTTTTAGCAATGACAGTGAAAGACAGTGTTCTGTTTTACGAGGCTTAATTTTTTTTCCAGGTAAGGGAGCTGGAGAAACGACATTTTGAGATTCCTTTCAGATACAGTCTATGGCCATACCACCCTAACCAATCTCATCATATACAAAATTATAATAGTAAATATTTTTTAAATTAATGGCTTATAGTAAGGTCTAAGATGTATTCTAATAATTTGACATAAATTAATATTATTTTTTATTTAGAATTATATACTATTTAAGATATAAAATAAAATTTAAAATATATTGAGAACCTCAAAAGCTCTTCTTCTGATTGTTTAATTCTTTAGAGATAATTTTTGTATTAAAGAGATAATAATTATCCCAAACTCTGAGATTTTACCTCGTTTATAGTTACCAGTCATGATAGGCAGTGTATTATTAATTTTTAGCTTGAGGCATGCCACATAATAGGGGAGTGTTCTTAATCTTATGTCATAAACAACTTGGTATTATTATTCTAGTCACCTTTTATAAAGTATTATTAGTTCTCAAAGAATATGAGTAAAATAAACTGCAATATTTAAATTACATCCAGATTTATATGATGGTTCCAAAGCTAATGTCAGCATTTTGCACTGTTTTGAGGTCATTGTGTGCTGGTTATAAAGATTTCTGGTTGGAGGAATGCTGGATATATCTGTTCTTTTGCTGTACTTGATTGCACCTTAAATAAATAAGGACAAACATGTAAACTCTTCCCTTCTTCCTTTCTAAAGCAGTGTTAATTCAGCTCTATGGAACAGCATAGAATAAAGTTACTATTAACACATTAACTTGTGCCACATTCTAAGTTATGACTTTGTTGCTTTTGTCGAGGTCATCAATGATCTCCCTGTTCTTAAAATCTGTGATTAATTTTCAGTGTTTTAATATGACCTTCAGCAGCACTTACCACAGCAGCACTTACAGCAGTCACTCTCTTCTCTTGGAAACAGTTTCTTTACACCTTCCAGGACACCACAGTCCCCTGATCTTCCTTCTGCCTCCCTGGGCTCTCCTCAGTCTCCTTGCTTCTTTTTGCTCTCCCTGACCTCATCACGTTGGGCTGCCACAGGATTTATTTCACTGCCCTCTTCTCCATCTATGCTCCGTCCCTTGGAATATTATTATTTTTTGTTTGCTTTAAGTACCATTTATGACTCTCAAATTTATATTTTCAGTCCAGAACTCTTCTCCAAATTCCAGACTCCTATAACCAACAACTGCTATACATCTCCACTTGGGTGTCTGATAGACATTGCAAACGTAACATGCTCAGAACTGAATGCCAGTATTTCCCCATATCACTCAGTGCCATCTCTATTCTTTTTGTTGCTCAACTGACTCCTCTTTTTCTTTCATATCTTCATCCAATCTGTTAGGAAATCCTGTTGGTTCTACTTTCAAAATATATTCAGATTCTGACCAGTTCTCACCACATCCATTCCCAATACCGTAGACCAAGCCATCATCATCTCTTACCTTGATTATTGCAATAGTCTCTCAGCTGGTCTCCCTGTTCCCATTCTTGCCCCCTTATGGCCTTTTCTCAACACAGCTTACACAGTAATTATTTCATAATAAAAGTCCAGTGATGTCACACATCTGTTAAAATCCTTCAGTTCTCCACTTTAGTCAGATTAAAACCCAAAGTCCTTAATCTGCCTACAAGGTCCTAACACAGTCTGTCTCCCTTGTTACTTTTCTGACCTCATCTGCTTCTGGTCTCCCTCTCCAGCCGTATAAACCCCCTTGCTGTTCTTGAAACAAGCCAGGCAGAGTCCCACCTCAGGGTCGTTGCACTGGCTGTTCCTTTGTCTGGAACACTTTCCTCAGTATTTCCATGTCCATTCCCTTGTTTACAGGGCTGCCATTTATGGTTCTCACTGAAAGTCATTTATAGGGCTCCTCCGAGGGTTGTGCATTGTCAGCCTGCCCAACTCTGTGCTGTGACTCTGCCCACTTCAAGTCTTTGCATAAATGTGACTTCTCTGTGAGGCCAGTCACAAGCATGCAGTTAAATTTGAAGTCATGTTGGCTCTTCTGATCTTGCTTTGTTCTATTTTTATACCCCCTCCCACGTAGCACTTATCACTTTCTAATATACAACTTTATTGACTTACTTACTTTTTTTTTTTTTTTAGCGATATGCGGGCCTCTCACTGTTGTGGCCTCTCCCGTTGCGGAGCACAGGCTCCGGACGTGCAGGCTCAGAGGCCATGGCTCACGGGCCTAGCCTCTCTGCGGCATGTGGGATCTTCCCGGAGCCGGGCACGAACCCGTGTCCCCTGCATCGGCAGGCGGACTCTCAACCACTGCGCCACCAGGGAAGCCCTACTTGCTATTTTTGATTGTCTTCTTCCCCTTACTAGAATGTAAACTTCAAGAGGGCAGAGGTTTTCAGTTGTTTTACTTACTCGCTACATTAAATGCCTAGAACAGTGCCTGGCACATAGGTAGGCACTCAACAAATCATTGTTGAAGAAATAATTTAAGATATCTTGGGTTTTAAGTTGTATTTGAAATAGAGGAGAAGGAAGATGAAATCAATACTTTTTTGAATTAGTGTATCTTATTAGATATATTTATTAGGATGTTAAAATTTCACTTATTTTTAGGTTTTATCTTTCAGCTGAGTATGTCCATATGTGCTTTATACCACAGAATCGATAGCTTACATTCAGAAAACTTAATTAACTTACTATGAAAACTTATTAACTTATTATAACTCCTTACTATAAAGGAGTTCCAAGTGGTAACATCACTCAGCAGGTGTGTTTGATAAAGCCTTTCCAAGTCTGATTAGCATCCTTAGGTCTTTAAGTAGCAATTTAAAAATCCCTGCATGTTATTTATTGATTAATAATAATAGTATAGCTTGCTTTATTGTTGTTTATGGTATACTATGGTAAAAATGAGGTTATTCAAATGCAGATATTGGTTAAGTCATTAACATCATTAGGGAATTAAGCTACAGCAGTTTTTTAAAGTGGCTAAGTAGTTAGCTAGGAGAAGTGACATATTTATAATACATTTTTATCATGACTTGGTACCCTTTCTGTAAAATGATGACACAGCCAGTGTTTACATGTAAACAAAAGGAGTAAGAGGCTTTTTTCTTAACGATAGGAAAGTGTATCAGAGGATTTGAAGCAATACATATCAATAATATAACAGTCCTTACTAATATTTCATACACATTCAAAGCCTCCATTGAAATGATTTGGAAAAAGGAGTTGGATTACCTTCTTCACAGTTATGATGCCGACTTGGAAATTGGGATCTGTGTTAATGTCGAATGCATCTGCACCATCTCCATCCACAATAGTGTACTTCATCTCTGCATTAATTCCTTCATCCAAGTCCTTGGCAAACACCCTTCCCACAGTAGAGCTAACTGGAGCTGATTCCAACACACTCATCTGATAATGTTCTGTGAAGAAGAGTTAGAACATGCATTTTTTGTAAAATCTGTTACTACCAAAAAAAGCCTCTTCAGTATCACATCATGTCCGCCATGCTGTGCAAAGCATCTTTTTCATGGTCCAAAAGTTAAAACTTGAGTTTTACAGATGAAAAAACTGAGATCCAAAGAGGCTGAGTAAATGTTATTGGGTCATAGCCTGTACTGGATGTTTGATAAGTAGGTGCCAGAATACCTTGATCATAATCCTAGGAGTAGGACAGGACAAAAGCAAAAGTATTTCTCATCTCAGTGAATCTACCTTCAGAATGGTAGGAAGTATCAATACCTTGCTTTCCAATCTTTTCTTTCTAATGAACCATTTCCCCACGTTAATTACTTCTGAGAAAAATAGAAAAAACATTGTGGTCACAAAGTATGTATTTACTCTGTTCACGTTTCAAATGCCCACATTTTCCTTTGTAGCCTGGCCATCATGCTGAATGCCTGTTTCTATGACTACCTGCCCAAATTTAATGGAGACCAGTGATCTACAAAGGAGGACCAGCCATGGAGAACAAACTCCACCAGCTTCAATCTGTCCATGCACCTGGGACTGCCCATTGGCAGCTTCTTCATGGACAGATCTCTGATGCTTCTTGCTCTCTTTTCCAGAATAGAATTCCCTCAGAGTTCTCACATATGTAAGAAACTCAGAGCCAGTAATGTTCTCCTCTTCAAATTGATATCATGAATTCACGAATTCAGTTCATTTTCGTCTCCACGAAGTAGTATTTTCATTAACTTACCTTCTCTGGGGCTAAACTTTTTGACATTCTTCATTATTTTGTCATAATGTGAATGACTAAGTATTAAATCAAACAATCACATTTTCAATATGTACATGGTCTCTCTGATTCTAATATGCATTTCAAGCTGTGGGGATGTGAACCTGGGAAGTCTGTGATGTGACGGCTTGAGTCGCACAAAGATTTGGGGAGGCTGACAGCACCCAGCCAGCTCACAGCACCTTCCCCTGCACAGGAGGAGAAATGATGACTGTTCTTTGCCAGTGTGAGCCAGGAAATTGCTAATGTCTGTACTAAACTGGAGGCACTTGGATTTCATGATCTCTTTACATTCACTTCCAAAGTTGTTGATGGATTAGACTTTTCTATTGCAGAACACGTTTGGGAAAAACAAATAATTTTCTCCAGGAAAGCTGTATGTTCTGTGTTGAAACAAACATATAATTTCTACACATAATGCATTATATTAGAAATAGTCTGAGGTTTTGACATTCCCTTATATTTGGTTCAATTAAAGGTGACTGAGCTTGTTCAATATAAAATAGTAGGTGTGTCATTGTGTCAACGACACCTAATCAGTTATGATAATATTTGTGAAAAAGAAGGAAAGTGGGATTTCTAGAATGAAGAATCAGAAGATTAATAATGCCTAAGAGTTTATCCAAGGTAGGTTATGGAATAATGAGATCATTTAAACTTAGTTTTAGCAAATAGGAGAAATAATTAATGGTGAGATAAAGAAAATTTTTTAAAAGTCCAAAAATAATGACTATTTTACTTTTTTTTTTTTTCTTTTTTTTGGCGGTATGCGGGCCTCTCACTGTTGTGGCCTCCCCCATCGCGGAGCACAGGCTCCGGACGCACAGGCTCAGCGGCCATGGCTTACGGGCCCAGCTGCTCCGCGTCATGTGGGATCTTCCCAGACCGGGGCACGAACCCGTGTACCCTGCATCGGCAGGCGGACTCTCAACCACTGCGCCACCAGGGAAGCCCAATAATGACTATTTTAGAGGAAGCAGAGATAATGTGTGAACAGTGTTTAGAGACACAGAGATTACTTTTATACATTTCCATTTTGTCTTCCGTGCAACATAGTCTGTGTTTCCACTCTATTCTAGGTTCTTCATTATTTTAAAAAAATGACAACTCAAAATGTGTGCTTTAGAATGGTGTTAAGATGTTGCCTTGTGGGGCAGGACTAAAACCCCAGTTATCACTGTATTGTTATGCTTCTGTGAAGCTGCTGTGTTTGGGGTGATATTGAGACAGGCTGGGACCTGGGCCCCTTTGCTGCAGGGCTGCAGTGCTTGCACCTGGACACACCTCTCCTCCAGCAACAAAAGACAGAGAAGCTATATGAGACTAAAAATAACTGGGTGCATGCACAGTTGGGGCAAATTCTGGACAAAAGATACAAAGAGACCAAAAAACCCAACTGCCACTTTTGAAGGGCCCAGAGCAAAAGCAGGGTACTGCGCCTGCCCCCTGCACACAACACCACCTAAGTGGTGGGCAGACCTCCCCAGCCACCCCTCTGTCCCGACCCCTGGACACACACCTACCCCTCAACCCATATAAGGAGTGAGCTCGCCCCTGCGCAGGGAGCAAGCAAGGGAAACAGTTGTTCTCATTCGCTGCTGCTGCAGCGGGGTCCCCAGTAAAGCCTTGCCTGAATTTCTTGCCTGGCCTCTGATCAATTTCTGTTGATTAAGGAGGCCAAGAGCCCTGGTAGGTAACAATACAACTTTCCTGCAGTATGTCCAGATCTACATACTGTGAGCTGTGTAATAACTTCATTCTTCCCTTTATGCCTCAGAGATACTGTCTAGTGTCAAATTACAAAGCCAAATAGGATCAGGGATGTTCAAGAATCTGTAGTCTACAGTGTGCACAGTGTGAACCATTCATGAAATAATAAAGATGGAACCCACAGGGTCAGCAAAGCAATTAAGAAGCCAATCCATATGGCATTTCATAAACTGTTTTCATGATGCACTACTATTCTGAACTGTAGAGCCAATCAACTTAGTAACCTACTTATTTGTGCCACTTGTGAAATATTTAATATACTATCTTTTAGTTTCACGAAATCTCATGGGGACTTTATGGATACCAGTTGTATGTAAATATTTGAGTTCTCTGTTTACATAGATAAAATAGATGGCTTACTTGGTTTGACTGACTCAAAATGTAGCTATTCAGCTGATGGTCTGGTTTTTAGTTTTTAGTTTAGTTGTTGTTTAACCTGATTCCCTCTGGTTAAGTCTTTCACCTGGAGTTGTGTCTGCTGCTCTCACTTCTCCAACTGCTCCCTTTTAGGCATCTGCTTCTCAAATTCACATCTCCGTTCCTGGGCTCCATTCCACAGTCATAGCTCTATCTTCCACCTTCCTTAAGGACCTTCAATCTGATTGTCCTGCTGTCACTTCATATTCAAATTGGAATTTGTCTTCCTCCTTCCCTGCCACTAGTTCCATTATGTATCCTCTATTTCTATCAGTAGTACAATTCTTCTCCCTGTCGCCCAGACTTAGAACATCACTGTCATCTTTGATTCCATCTTCCCTTAGCCAAGAAATCAAGAGACAGAAATCCATGTTTTCTTATTTGCCCCATTCCACCCCTTCTGCAGTTTCCTTACACCCTTATCAGTTCAAATCTGGACCACTCTAAAAGCCTGCTAACAGACTCTCCTGCTTCTAGTCTTCACCCCTAGCAACCAGTGCTGTACGCGGCTATCAAATTATTAGCTTTCCTTTATGTCTCTCACTTGCTCAAAAACTTTGCAGTGACTTCCGTTAGAAATATAACAAATTTGAAACACTGAAGAGCAGGTCTTCATTTTAGGGATCTTTGAACATAAAATTACATTTGCAGCTTTATTTCTAGGTATTTATATCCCATATCTAGAATGTTGCCCAAAGCAAATATTTTTTGAATGAATAGCTTCCCCCTTCTGGAATGTTTTCCTTTCTTCCTATTTGAATCCTTTATATTCTTCAATCCCCGGCTGAGCTCTCATCCTTTTATTAAGCCTTTACTCATCTTGGTTTCTTGTGAAGGCTTCATTCTACACTAACCAAGTGGCACAGCAAATGCTGCTTCCTGGTTAACTTTTGATGAATATTGAGTATGTACTCCCCAAGTGGACTTTAAGCTTCACAGGGGCAGAGACTGGGTTTCAGTCATCTTGTGCCCCTCATGCCCAGGGCCCAGGTGCTTGGTACCTGCTTGTGAATTGATTGGTTAAGGTGGTCAGATGGGTCACTATGTTCACCTCCAGCTTTGGCTTAGTTTCCCTAC